CCCAGGAGAACGACTTCTTGACTTGGAGTATGCTGATGATATTGCCCTCATCTGTGACAGATCCCAGACGTGCCAAGCGGCACTGGACAGGTTAGCACTGGTTGTCCGTCACTTCGGGCTTTTTTTGTACCATCGAAGTGCAAAGCGTTCCTCCAAGATTGGCTTGGACCGCCTCTTTCGCTGACCCTTGGTGGGGATCAGATAGAAGTCGTTCAAAAATTCAACTACCTGGGAAGTTGTATCAGCGCCCGTGGGATTGAAGACGAACCGTATATCAAAAGCTCGAGGCGCTTTTGCTAACCTTCGCCACTTATGGCGCCGGCGCGACAACCCTCTCGCCCTGAAGGGTAGAGTGTACAATGCAGCGGTACCTTCAACTCTACTGTACGACTGTGAAACCTGGCCCCTTAGATCAGCGCACATAAAGAGGCAAGTTACGTCCGACCACTGATGCCTTCGAAATTTAGCTCACATCTGGTGGGAACACCGCGTGAGCAACGAGCGTGTTCGACGCCTTGTTTACGGCACAGGAAACGGAAATGAATCGCTCAGCACCGTTATTTCACGCACCAGGCTACGATGGCTCGGCCACGTGTTACGCATGCCAGCCCACCGACTCCCTCGACGTGCGTTGTTTGCTCACCGGGGATGTGGGTGGAAGAAGAGGAGGGGGTGGCCAATCGATGACTTGTTCGAGAGGAATGAAGGCGCTCACTTCTCAGCAGGTCTCAGTGGGAGCGTCTCGGCTCCCTAGTTGGGGTCCGAAAGACGATGAACACGTTTGGCTGGATACACTTGTTGATATGGCTAGGAGCCGACCTCAGTGGCGTTCGTGCTGTGAGTTTCTTTGTCCCACCCCATCTCTCTTAGATTCCCACTCCAACTCCGATCTCATGATTTAGCATTTTATAACTGCATAGTAAATTTTTTTCTGCTGCATAGTATCTGACAGATAGCTTACCGGAACGATGCCCATCCGTTACCGGTAGCTCAACTGGCTTGCAGCTGTTGAATTTTATTCCCTTTTTTCTTTCAGGTATTGCGGCACAGTAGCTGAGTTGTTTCCCACCTCTAGCTAACGTGTATAGTGTGTGTGCGACAAGAAGCGGAATCGGTCGATCACCTCTATACATTCTTCCTCTTTTGATTTGAGGAGAGCTCGCTTAAACGTATCCACGAATCTCGCTCGTGTATGGTGGCAACAGCGCATCCGCAACAGTGAAGTCAGACGTCGCGTCTTTAGGGAGTGCGAGTATTCCCTTCAGCAAACTGATTTCGCTGTATCAGTTAAGATGACTCGACCACGTCCTGCGCACGTCAGATGAACGTTTGCCCCACTGCGCCCTTTTCGCTCGTGCAGGATTTGACTGGAAGAGACCACGTATAGGTCAGCCGTCCACCTGGCGACAGCTTGTGAAATCGTTGACTTCACGTCTTACCACCGGGTTGGTGACCATGGGACGAGGAGTGCCGATGGCTGGAAACAATTCAGAATATGGCGCGCAATCGAAACCAGTGGAGGATCTATGTACATAATTGTTTAGATTTAGATGCTAAGTGTTTTACGATTGCAAAAGACAAAAAATGAAAAATGGCATGTGCAAAATGACAAAAGTGCTCCGCTTTTCTTTAACTGCAGCCCGATAAGTGAAGTGTGTTGCTCACCTTCAGCTAATGTGTCATGATCATGATGCGTTGATGAAACCTGTCTGCTTCTAGTGATTTCCATGGTTTTACTTGGCTCTATGTCTATTTTTCACAGCAAACACAATGGCCAACGCTTCTGTCTTGATCTGGCTGTAGTTTCTTTCGGCCTTTGTTAGAGTGTTGGCGGCATTAGTGATTGCTTTTTGAGATCCATCTGATTTTGTGTGCAAGATTACTGAATAAACCCTATGGCTTGATGCATGTGTAGCGACCATAATCAATCGGGAGGGATCAAAATGAATCAAAAGCAGGTTTGAGGCCAGCGATGAATTGACCGGTCCAGAGATATTCTGGCATTTCGACATCCAGTTCCAGGTTTGGCCCTTGTCTAGCAGTCAAATCAGTAGGGAAAGCAGGCGATGAAGCTCGCGCAAAAATGCACTGTTATGACTGATGAGGCCACAATTGGAATGCAAAGGTTGTAGATCTGTTGACAGAGGCATCTTCCTTATGGCTTCTATGTTCGCTAGATCCGACCGACGTACCTACTTTTCAAGGATAAAACCGAGTCTTCACGGATCAGGAAACCATACGACTGGATACAACCAATCATTTCATGCAACCGGTTAAATAGCTCTTCTAGCCATCATGATGATATCATCCAGCTACGCCGCGGCTCCTGATACTCCCGCGAGCATGGTATCCATCAATTGTTGGAAAAAGGCTGGTGCCGTTTCCATACCCAAAGGAAAACGACTGTACTGGTACAGCCCACGATAAGTGTGCATCGTCAGCAATTCTCTCGAGTTTGCGATAACTTCCACCTTGAGGTAGGCACCCGACAGATCAAGCTTGGCAAAGCACTTACCACCATTGAGTTTTGCGAAGATGTCTTCCGGTACGGGAAATGGGTACTAGTAGTCGTCCAGCGCAGCGTTCAAGCCGGTCGAGAAATCAGCATAGATGCGTAGCTTGCCATTTGCATTCTTTATTGTGACAATAGGTGCGGCCCATAGAAAAAAGGTATCAGCAATACGCCGGTACGCAGTACCGACGCCTCGCTGCCGCGCAACCACAACCGGTCTAATGTGGGCTAAGAATACCGCGAGGATCGTCCGGTCCCTAGGCAGGCTCGGACCCGCGTCGCCAGATTACAAAACAAGCTCGTTACCTTTAGGCTACGGGCCGGGTCAAGATGAATGATAGACAGGTGTGATGACACCGGCTCGTTCTAGTCGGTCGAGTCCTTGAGCAACGATTACACGGCTGCATACGGCACCGGTCTTTTAGCCTTAAAGACTGGCTTGGCTCCTGAGCTCAGGTGCAGCATTGCTTTTAATTTTGTGCGATGATCTAGGCCAATCAGAAAAACAGAGGCGAATTTTTTCTTCAGGGACCGTGTCATGGCGTCGATGGGTTTAGATTTGCTCGGACTCGACCACAGATCCAATTCAAGGGAACATCAAGTAGCGTTAAGTCTTCAATCCAATCAACCCCAAGAAGGTTCGAATTCGGCCAGTCTGACATGTAGAACTTTTCAGATTCTTATGCACACTGTTTAATGCAATTTTGCGCGCAACTCGGCCGACCAAATTTGGCACACCAACGGATGCGTTGAGGGCAATTTTAGGAGACTTGGTCATGTTTGGCCTCTTGATGTGATTCCATGTATTCGTGGAAATGATCGCAACGGTTGGGCCTGTGTCGTTGAGATACCATTGATCAGCACGACTATGAATCGTGGTCGGTAGAAGTTTTCATGTTCTTCGTCCCGGCTGGGCTGCAGTATTCTTCTTCGTGGCCTCGCTTAAGACACTTTTCGAAAGCACGTTTGGATAGGCAAAAGCGTACAAAATGCCAATCGTCGCATGACTAGTAAGCTTGCTGTAGGTGGTTTGTTCAGAGCTCTCTTAAACGGTTTGCATAGGCCAAAAGCATTTGTGTTTTTTCACAGTGTGAACGGTATCGGATGGTGAGGGGGTGTGTTTCAGGGTGAGCAGACGTTTGCATTCAGTTACGAGGGAATTAGGTGCCAGATCTGGATCCTAATCCAGCTCGGTAAGAAGCCGCTTGCGGATCATAGTATCACGAGGGGGTTGTAGAGTAATGAGAAAAATGGGACACTTAAATTGGACATCCATCAAATAGCTTGAAACGCTCACACGCGTCCGTTACTCGCTTGCTAATTTTGAAGCATTGATAGCGAATACGGAACAGAGATGTTAACTCACTAAGCATTTCATTGAGCTGCGATCATGCTTTGTTGAACGTCAGGTTCCTCAGCTGTTTGGGCAGAATGCGATCGTCAAACCCTGAATGTTCGTTTGTGCCGAGCTTGCGGAATAATAAATGCACTTTTCAGGGATCGTCCATAGGACGGATATCCTTCCGGAGCATGTCTTCCTAGCGCATGAACCACGCTTTCACAGTGCATGCAGAATCGGTTTCATAATTAAACTTACAGTTAGAATTCGTGAAAAGAGCAACAGAATTGGCAGGTTTCCCGCGCCGCTTCTCCTGTAGGCGGCAGGCTTAGGCAACGTGGCAAATTTTCAAGGATTTTTCCTTTGAGCCTCCATTTGAGATTGTTGTTGGAGAAGCAGCTTCTCAAATTGTTCAACAGAAAAAGTCATAACATGGCCCAATTTTTCTTTCGCCAATTGCTGTATCTTCTGACTGGTAGAGATTCAGAAGTAAGCAATCAACTGCTCCACAAGACCTCTAGATCAGCCCAACAAAAAGGGAGTCAAATGACATTGAGAAAATAATGCGTTAACCGCCGCCAAAGACTATACGACTGCAACAGACCTCGGTTGTATTTTTAGGTCACTTAATGACCTTCGAGTTCTGGAATAGGGAGACCAACTGGCAAAATTAGCAGCGTCATAAGGATCCAGCCAATCTTCAAAGATTGGTAATCACGTGCAAAGGTTGGGACATTACAGAAAGTTCGAAATCGATGCGATCATCCGTAGCAATCGATTGACTGCTTCTCCGGGACGACTTCTAAATAAAAGACTTGTTGATTTCGTACCCTTAGCCTCACTGTTATTTGTATCGCCTATTCGTAAAATATGGTGTATAGGAAAAATCTATAATCACATCACGGAGGTCTTCTTCGCCGTTATAGGTTGACGTTAGTGTCTCTAGTGCGATCAGAAAGAAATAAATGGAATGGTCTATTGATACGGCAAAAAAACTGCGTGTGAAGGGCTTTGCAGTGAGTTTAAACCTAAAACTTCGCGAAATAGATGCGAACATCTGGGGAAACTACTGATAAGAGTAAGGGGAGGATTGAGGGTGATTTGGGAGCGGAACGAGTAAAGAAGAGAAACCGTAGAGTAGCGACTTGCCTAAGCCTGAGCGGTTCAGAATGGACGACAATACTCCACCATTTTCATTGCGTATAAAACTGTCGGAGGATAAAAATCCCAAACTATCCGCGATTCGCTTTAGAACACGGTTGCTCATCGAAGACTTAGCAACGTATCCTCTGCAAATATAAAAGCAAGACGGAATGTGGGAGTGAATTCAGGTACTGTTGACGACCTAGAGAAAAATATCGGGCGCGCGCGATTAAGCCAATTCCACAGTAAATGAACCAGCTTAAATGTCATAGATCCGAGCATCAGTATGACATTTTCTCAATTTGAGCACACAGTACAGTTGGATAAAATGAGAGTTCTACGGATATCTGTACATCAGAAATGTCTCAGTGTAGACAGTATTTAGGTACAGTGTGAAGCCACGACAGTAGGTATGCGACTCGAATTCAGTTTGGCTTGTCCAGATGGAACTTTGTGTTTGATGGAAGAAAAGGCAATGAGGAATTCGTGCAAAACCGAGATGAGCTAGCGCCGTGGAACAAGAGCTGCAATTCACTATATGTTGGGTACGTACGCTGTTCCTGGTAAATGCCGATCACTGATAGATGATTTGTGCAGCTGGGGGAAAAATTTAAGGGGGCTGAGGAGTCCCTGCTGAGCCCTGAGTTTAACGCCACACTGATTACTATGAAGGTCGAAAGTAGAGACTGCGCAATCGTGCAGAGGATTCACGAAACAACGGAAGTGTACGAGCAAAGTAGATGGGAAGAAAACATTGCACTACACAGTAAGGTGAAAAAGTGAATGCTTATTTCCTTGAGAACTCACCCACTACAGCAGAATGTCAGCAGATTCGCACCGGCCGTCCAAACCGCGGTTATGTGTGAGTCACACCATTGCAGCGCATACGTAACCAGCAGATCACATCGATCCGCCGGAAGAAGAGTTGAGCCATCTGGCCAGTTCAAACCGATACTGTCGAGCATTTGAGCTTGTAACTAGAAAGTAAGCAACAAGTGAGGTAAGCGAATGATAACCGAAGAGGGTAAGAAAATTAATTATGTTAGGAAACCACATAACTCACATCGGGTGTAAGCAAGGGTAGGTTGTATAAAAGGGTCTCCAGCATATTCGCAGATCGAAACTGCCAACCTGTGCGATAAAACGGAGAACAAATTCACAGAGTAATTTGGTATGAAGGCTGTAAATGCAGACAAACAACAGGTGGAAGTGTGAAATAATTGAGCAAATATCCAGATCGGAGACAATGAAAATTATTCCTCAATACGCATCCAGTGAACATAACACGGAAACCTACATGTTGGCCAACAGTGGCAGAGACACAAAGTAAGCTACATGAGTAAAGGAACGAAGAGGTCAGGAGCCGGACGTTTTGTTCCCTGTGTCTCAAAAACATAACGGGTGACGGCATAGCGGATGGAACACGATGACCACACTTACAGTCCGCACGTTATTCACAAGGAAATCGGTGCAACTTTTTAAGGCGAGAATCAGTTCCAGTTGAAAATATCCTCATCCATGCGTCGTAGCGAAGTAATTATCACGCCCGGACCCATGCCAATGTGTATACACAATGGCAAAAAGACAAAAGTAAAAAACATGCCAAATGGTTCCAATTAGCACAATATGCTTGGAAGCTAATAAAATAAGCACACGAGCCAACTGACAAGTGGGTGCAAAGATGAGCCTTAATGGTGCAACCAACACTACTCCAGTGCTTAATCAAACAATAACACGGTCATACTTGGTGTGATTAGCACTGTTTGGTTGGGGAATGTTGTGTGCATGCAGAGAAAGAGCGTCATTTCCGCAAACTTAAACGGTGACTGATCCGACAGCTCTGTCGCATCAAGAATGCATGGTGGACGGAGAAGGTGAAACAGATGGAGTGCTACGCCGAACACCATCATAAGGAATTCTCTGACTCCTTGAAGGAGGTGTATAGATACACGTTACAGCCGCTGAGAACGCGGCTCGATAATACTTCAGGCGCTGCCAGCACACATACTGCAGAAATAATACAGATCTGGCGAACACACTTTGACTACATGTTGAACAACCGTACTAAGATTATGCGGCCTACGTTGCACCGGCTGTAATAACAAGAGGTGAAGACGTCTCTTGCCGACACACCAACAGTGAATGGGTCGCAGAGAGCTTTTCAGCAATCATCAGTATACACGTCAGGTAAAGGTAGAAAACCCAGCTATTGTGCTGCAATACGTAACAGAAGGAACTATGATGAACTATCTGCAACCGAGACAGGCCAGCTGAGCCACCAGTAACGGATGGGCATCGTTCCGGAAAGCTACCAGCCGTTATTGCACAAAAAGAATTATATTATGCAAAATTTATATGCCAGGAAAAGAGATCGTGGTTGGAATGGGAGGCTAAACGGGATGCCGAGGGACAAATAAACTCACAACACAAACGCCACTGTTGGTGCCTAGCCATGTCAGAAAGTGTATCCAGCTCAGAGAGCACTTGCTCAGATGCGAAACGGCAAACGTACCAGCGCCGACGGAATACCGCCTGAAACACAGCGGACCCGCGTTAGTAAATGCGCTGCCCCACTTGCTGCAACGCGTGTGGATTGAGGAGGTGCCTACTACACTGAAGAATGTCCTTGTGCTAGCATTGCACAAGGGCAAAGGAAGCAGGCAAAGTCGCACGAATTATTGTGGCATCAACTTGCTGAGTTGTGTGGGCAAGGTGATCGCTCGAATCTTACTCAACCGACTCGTCAGTCAGGTTGTGGAACCGAACATGGCGGAAGAGCAATGGGGATTCCGTCCGGGCCACAGCACCATGAATTTGTTGTTCGCGGCTCGTCAGTAGCAAGGGAAATACAGAGCGATACCAGCCATTGTAACCACTATTTGTCGACTTCGCTAAATGACACGGTGAACCGCGAAGCATTGTGAATGGTGCTGGGTGAGTTTAGTTGTCCGAGTGGGTTTATAGGTTTAAGTGAATGTCTGCACAGCGGTATGCGGGCGAGGGTGTAGTTGAGTGGACAAACGGATGACGTTGCTGTTGTCTCTGGTGTGAAGCAAGGCAATATCTTAGCCTCTGTCCTGTTTAATATTTACGTAAATGCTGTGGTCTCGTACTTTTGATGCTGCTTGTGATTACGGTGTCCGTGTGGAGCACCGTATTGATGGTAGGTTACTGAAGATCAGTCGTTTCGAGGCAAGAACCATAGTGTGTGAGACAAAGATTTGTATGTTGCGGTCTGCTGGCGACTGTGCGTTGTTTTCACACAGCGCGGATGAGTTGCAGCATGACTTCGGCTCTCGCTTCGACAGTTGGCAATTTATGGTTCACCATCAACACAAGCAAGACTGTTTGTCTTTTCTAATCTTCACCATGGATGGATTCCGCAGGCCTGAAACAAATCTACATTCCTAACGACGTTTTGGAAACTACTTCGGGATTTCGCTACCTATGAAACGTAATGTCTACGGAGTTGCAGATGGTGAGCGAGCTGCGTATCCGCGTATCGAAAGGGGCTGTCGCATTTTGGAAGCTGGAAAAATGTGTGCGGAGCAATCACCAGCGTACGGTGGAACAATCATCAGCTCAACAATTGTTTCGGTAAACCCAGAGTTAATGGCTTCAACGGGTAATGCAAATAACAGTTCCTATGATTTTCATTAAACACTGTTGACAATTCCGGAATGGATTAACAGTCCAGTTTTTTTTCCAGATGTGCAGCAGCTGCCTGACTGGGAGCGGTAGTGTCGAATATCCATCGGACATGCAATCTAAATCCACAATTTCAAGACTAAAAGTCCGTAATTGCATAAACCAGTGGTATCAGACGGTGACGGCTCGGTAACAGAAGTTCGTGACTCAGGAGTCCTTTGCAATTCGGGAACGCACATTGCAGTGGAGTATGAGCATCCGCGCTATTCCCCAACCACGTACCGAGTCACGGCCGATACCGCAAGACCTCTATCGCCCAGTACTCTTAGCTAAAACGCGTATGCATAGAGATGCAGGTTTTAGCCAGCAAAGCGGACAGAGAATGCGCCCTGCTGATGAATTTCGAAAACCAAATGTATTGTCCTACCGGTTGCATGTAGTAAGAGATTGCCGAGAAGTTTTCTGTTGTACCAATAACAAAAGCACTATCTGGAAGCAGATACATCAGTAGTAAAAAAGCAACCGTCCGCACGGCTCCACCAAAAAACGACATTGCACGTAAAACAGCTCCAAGTATACTCCTGAGTCTGGGTTGACGCAAGTGAATGCGACTGGTGTGAGTGTGGCTTCTCCCAGCAGACTCATTTTTGATCATAGCCCTCAAAAGAACGTGAGTGATCCGCCCAAACTATTCCTCCTTCAGCGTGCCTGCATAAGATGGACACACAAACTGGTACCCAGCACTAGGTTGGCTATGAGATACATGTCAGGTGGACCAGTAATGGGGCAAATAAGAACATTTGATGCTGCAAAAATCCAACCGATATTGGGAATGAGAATGAGCACAGTGACCTTTGGTACAACTCTCCGATGTTGTTAACCATCGCAGCAGAAAGCTGAATAGTTTTAAAGAAAAATTTAGAAATGGTTTTAATCAAGCGTAATGTAGAGAGATAAAATAACTCACCAGGTGAATGTCCAGTAAGCCATTTGTCATGTACAGCAGAGTTCAGAAGATCCAGCTTGAGGAATTCCACAGACGAGCGCATCAGATTCAGCGTATTCTTCGCTCGCTGATAAGTCATGCCAGGCCAAAAAGCCAAACGTCTGCAATGGGTGAAGTCCAGCTTGGTTGGGTATGACGAACAGCTACCCCAAAGTTCCGTAAGCAAATTTAACAGTTTAGCTAAAGAGTACAGAGAAACAGGAGTAACGCCGTGAGTGTTTTTACATATGGAATATATATTATATATATGTGTGTGTGTGAAAAAAGAAATACTTACGTAGCCAACGCAAGCCCAGGGAATGAGGTTCTAGGAATGCTGGGAAACATGGTTTGTGAGAGCAGGGTAGCGTGGTGTCTGGCTCTAACAGAACAAAAGCATTTGACGTTGTATCAAAACCCACAATATCGAGGAGAATGGGATCAAAAGAAGAGAATGCCGTTCGCATGGCAAGAACTAGTTCCTTGAACCCCTCTGACAGATACCTTCGCGCGACAGTGTTGGTGGATCTGACTAAGCTTGTAACGCAGAATGTGAAAGAATTGATCAAGTGAACATCGCTAGTCGGATCGGACAACGCCGTGTCATGCAGGGGACTCGTGCGTTTCAATAGTTTCACTGATAATGATGCCAGTCCACGAAGCGCGAGTGAACGGAGAAGATCATCTGAATGATAAAGGCCGCAGAATAGAGGCGCAAGGCTCTGCAAAAGAATGTGATAGAGTGTAGCGCCATGACAAAACTGGGAGATAACAGCCTTATAGAATATGCAGCATTCTATAAGTCTACAGATGCGCTACGAGTACCCCATAAGGCCGAAAGACGGAAGCAAAACATCTCATCGAAAGTAACACGGAGAGATTGAATGCTACATTTCGTACTACGAGATGAAGCGAACTGGTAGTGAAATCCTTGCTCGTATACGACAAGCAGTAAAGGAGTACTTTGTACAACTTCGCCGACGCATAAACATGGTCCATTGAAAAGGTCGAAAAAGTCGGATACGGTATGGGAGGCGTAGAGATTGGGAGTGACCTTAAATAAATAAATAAGCAGTTTATTCCTCGACGATGCGAGGCACAGTCCAACTGAGTGGCTTGATCAATCTGTACAACGAGATCGCATAAAATAGTTAATTGTGCTTGTTTTGTATAACGAATCCCAAATGGGTTTTTGAAGTGATTGGCAGTCTGAAGGTATCAGAGTGATTAAGAAAATGGGAAAAATAACAAATGCAGATTTAGCCAAAAGTTCAATTAAAGTAATACGACCAATCATGGAACTGTCCCCAGGGGACCCGCTTCCATGTGGGGTATTCCCTTGATGGGTTTCTCCCGCACTTCCATGCTCCAACTGGCTGTGTGCCGGTGTGGAAAAATAGCATTTAAGCCCTCACCTGTTTAACAAATGTTTTTCTATAAGGGCTGTTTTATGCATGCATTATGGGCGATGAAGTTTCCTACGTCGACAAGAACAAGACAGTGTATCGGATCCGACAGGATGTATCGGAGTTAAGTACTCTTCATACAGCAGCTGAGAATCGTCTCGACACAGTGAATACGAATGGTCAGTAGTATCGACATTATGGACGTGAAATGTGCAGCTAATGACGAGCAACCGAGCTCGATGGTCGCATGTGCCTTTTGACAGTACTGTCATGTGCAGATGTTTCGCAAACGCAGCGAGTGTAAGCTGTAAGAGATTGAAAGATTATGGCAAGTAGCATACCCTGTTGCCGAATCGGCAGACGGAGGGTATGTAAACCAGGAAGCGAAACGGCAAATGCGATTCTCCAGTTGAATACTGATTGAATGCACAGGGTAAAGTTAGAGGCAGCTTCAGGTTAGTTAGAACGAGAGTGACAGATCGGTGGAAGCTGAACAACCGTAAGGAAGCGAAGCGAGGGATTTCCGTGATTTGTCCACGCTGAGGCATAAGTAGTGCTCAACGGCCCTTAATCGTAGTATTTGACTGAATAGACGGATCTAAAAGGCTGTAGGATAAACGGAAGTTCCGTTATGGAATTCTAACAGGAATCGCTGACTTAATAACTTGGCTAACATTGCAGTGAACGGCCCACCCTGTCATGGAGTGGTTGAGTTCGGTCAAACGTAGGGTGAACAGTCAATCACAAGGAGAGATGCAGGTTCGCACATTGATGACCAGAAACTGTGGCATGAGAGCTCAAACGCCATTTAACTTAAGCCGAGATGATACATGGTAGAATTTCATCACTCGTTGTTGGATTTTAAAGAAGAATACAGTGGGTCTTTGCTGGGCCATCTCAAACATGTGTTGGAAACAAGTTTGTCTCACTGCTAGCAACTGATTTGACTGGTATGAGTGGCCCCGAAATGTCACAATCACACGAAGGACTGCGCTCAGGGAATAGGATATCAAAGTAAATCTGCCAAAAAAACCAAAGTAACCAGAAGGAAGGAAGCGACTGATCGTTAACAGCCGACAACTGATCACCCTACACACACTATACACTTATGAATGGAAGGATTTTCCTGAGTATTTTGTTCGTCGCAATCAGCCGACAATTCAGATATGTCGACCAGCTATCCGGAAAAGCACCAGACGGCCGTTTCGCCCTATTGGGGCTCATCAGTGGTGCGCATCCTTCGGTCCTCTGCGGAGGATCGAACCCATGACTGCTAGTGGCTCTTGCCAACTAGCCCGCAGCTTATGCAACTACGCCATGAAGGACGGTACCTAACTATCGTGAATGGTTAGCTAAATGCGATATAGCCCGACGCATCCTCCACTGCCATGCAGGCACCTGCCATGCAGATGACAGCGGTCGGCCTTCCGGCGTCAGGACTTCCCGGTTACGGCAGCTATGAATCGACATAGCATTTTGTGGAATCCGTACGGGCGAATTGGTATTACTTATGAATGGAAGGATTTTCGTGAGTATTTTGTTCGTCGCAATCAGCCGACAATTCAGATATGTCGACCAGCTGTCCGGAAAAGCATTAGACGGCCGTTTCGCCCTATTGGGGCTCATCAGTGGTGCGCATCCTTCGGTCCTCTGCGGAGGATCGAACCCATGACTGCTAGTGGCTCTTGCCAACTAGCCCGCAGCTTATGCAAATGCGCCATGGAGGACGGCTAGTTGGCAAGAGCCACTAGCAGTCATGGGTTCGATCCTCCGCAGAGGACCGAAGGATGCGCACCACTGATGAGCCCCAATAGGGCGAAACGACCGTCTGGTGCTTTTCCGGACAGCTGGTCGACATATCTGAATTGTCGGCTGATTGCGACGAACAAAATACACACTATACACGTTTGCTAGAGGTGGGAAACATCTCAGCTATTGTGCCGCGATACCAAAAGAAAAAAGGGAATAAAATGCAACAGGTGCAAGCCAGCAGAGCTACCGGTAACGGATGAGCATCGTTCCGGTAAACTATCTGTCAGATACTATGCAGCAGAAAAAAATAATCTACTATGCAGTTATAAAATGCTAAATCATGAGATCGTGGATGGAGTAAAGGTTAAGAGGGATAGAATGGGACAAAGAAACTCACAGCAAGAACGCCGCTGAGGTCGGCTCCTAGCCATATCAACAAGTGTATCCAGCCAAAAGTGTTTATCGTCGACAACTGATTGATCTGTGAACGCCAACTACCGTAGTAACGCGAGCAGCAAAAGTCAAAAGGCTGCTACATCGCAGTAATGTCTAGTGCAAGGAAGCAACAGATTCGGATCCAAGCTATCAATAAAGAAACCCAAGCTGTTGCAGATGTTAGAAAACGAAAATCCATAGAGATGGCAAGAAAAGTGAGTTTAGAAATTCCATGAACCCGTGATACAATTTCATAGAACAATGAAGCTGGGTTGAATTTGCCTACTTGGTTTGAGCAGCAGTAATAGTAGGATATTAAGGAAAACGCATGCGAATGTGTTAAGGCATTACAATACGACAGATTAAGCTTAAATGAGTATAAATAAGTACAGAAAGACATAACAATAGTCAGACAGCAGAGACCTACCAAGTGGCGTGACGTAAGATGGAGCTTGTCGTCATGAACAGCAAAAAGAAATTCCCAGAAAAATTGTCGATGAAGAGTTATGCTGGGAGGAGATTCTACCTGCAGAAGGTTGCCCAAAGAATGCAACAACAACTCTGCCAGAGGTGAATCACTGTTTGCAGTGTGAAGATAATCGGTTGGAAACGTAGTGCGAACACAATGCGCTGGAAGCCGAAAACTGAGAAGTTCCTTTCGAAAACAGTGATGTGCGAAGTTAACACGGCGATTGGCCTAAAAGTGTCACGAGAAGAGTTCACTTCAAGACTAGATTAGAGATGATGTATAAAAAAAACAGGGGTAAACCCGCAAGTTGTGTATTGGATAGCTACCCGTTTGAGAGCTTACAGAGGAGAATATGCGGATCCGAGGAAGTAATCGTTAAATGACAGAATATGAGAGGGGCGAACCGAACAGATGAACATGACTTGTAGTAACAGACGTTCTGCTTATTTTAGCTTTGGCGTAGCCGTCTCCTTAGTTCGCTGCATGTGACACACGAATACACGCTCGTGGGAACTATCTACGCAAGGGAACATCCAAGATCAAAACATTTCCAAAGCATCGCACAATGGGGTCCGGACGTTATCTAGTACTGCCCATTTAAAAATAACCAAAACGCTTCCAAAATGTCAAGAGGAAGAACTAATAACGTTGGGTCCGAGCGTTGCAATAGTAGTTCGCGTGCAGTTTACCTTCTCTGCTCCAAACACTTGGACGGCTCTCCTGAAGACAGAATGGTCAGTAGTCGCATACAAAGCGACTATATCCCGTGAGAGTCAAGGGAATCCATGGGAAATCGATGAGCAATCTCCATCCGGGATATCATACTTGCAGTTAGCTTTACTAACCTGTTGATTTCCCTAGCCACTGGTAGCAATGAAAAGGGTCATGGTTCAGCACGGATACGGTGCTTGAAGTTGAGCACTGTGTTTGACATGTCTCAGATTCACAAGTCCAGATTAATCGCATTACGATGGAGGCAGACCAGCGTTGTATTCTTTTCATCGACCGGGTAACAGCCCCGTGCGCTCGATGACTGTCACGACAGTCCGGCCAGCAACAAAGCAGTAGTCTAGGTAAGTGGTCTGTTAAGACAATGAGATCGATTATGTCTACAGTGCTAACCAAGTTCGTCCCGAAAACCGTAATAATCAATAGTTGTATCCACATTAGAAGCTGAATTGTATAATATAAAAGTGCGAGTAAACGTAATCCAAAATGTAATGCTTGACGATTCACGAACTCACGGCTAGGACACAGTGACGACCGCATTAGCTAGAACCGCTTGTTGAAGGTGGAAAGCAATCAGTGGGGGACAAATTGTGCTATGGCTGGTATGTGCTGGGGCATAACCATCAGTATTATGTGCCAAGGCTTGGCTGGTAGAGTGGTAGAGGATGGACCTCACAATACAGGTATCCTGGTGTGCGGTATTGAGCTCGGTATCAGGACTAGGAGATATTGCACAGAATCTATTCGAAGTTACTTGAAAAGTGGCGCCGTTCTCGCAAAGCCAAGGTTATAGCGAATGAAAGAGGGATAGAATTGCTTACCTGGGCAGTCTCTAGAGTAAGTTCCGAGCATCCGAAGGACTCTTGTGTGTTGGTGCAGCTCAATTTGGCGAACAATATATAGGAAACGACCGGCTCGATCAGCCTTGGGATGAGCGAGTCGTTTGGTTTGAGTGAAGAGGCCGAACTAAAAAGGATTATAGACAGGCGGTATAAATTGCAAGAAATAAGGGCGGATAAACAAAAAGGATACGATAATTTGAATGAGGTCTACAATGTTTACAACAAATATTTAAGGTTCCATTAATGATAACCGCGAGGTGTGCAGAGATCATGAGAAGCGACACCGCCATCACCTACCACCCCGGTAGGGGTACCGAAAGCGAACGGAGGAGCAATGCTAGCACGGTGTTTCCTAAACAATGACAACCAATATTAAGTGCGTTATTTCGCATTTCATTAGTGCCCATAATGATGCTATCGAAAAAGAGGTGTGAAAGGTGTTAGAATATCTTCACTTGTTGCGATTCAGAAATATGCACTACTCTGCTCCACAAGACCTCGAGCCCAGCCGAAGAAAAAAAAACAGAAGTCAAATAACAGCGATGAAAAAAACGTGTTAACTGCCGCCAAAAAAGACAGTTAAAAGGAAGCAGACCATGTTTGCATTTACAGGTCACTTATTGACATTCGACTTCTGGAACAGGAAGAGCAATTGGCAATATTGGCAGTGCCATAACGATACAGCCAATCTGCAGGAGGTTGGCAGTTACGTGTAAGTCTTGGAACATTCCGGAAAGTTTGAAATCAATGCAATAATCGTTAACAATCGATTGATGGCTGAAATAATGGTCTTTCAAGGAAATCCTTACCTTTTACCGGACAAAAGAGAGATAAAGGACGCAGTGAAAGTCTTGTTCCCGAGTTCACAAGATAGAGTGATCCGTTATCGTGATAGCACAGAAAAAGTGTCCGCGCACTCTAAAGCACCTTTGACACTGCGCAAACAAGGGGATACGAGTGAGCATTCACCACGGGCAACTGACTAGTGCCGTGGATGCTTACTAGCGTAGTGACACAAGTAGCAAAAGCCAAAAGCTGCCAAATCGCAGTAACGTCTGGCGCAAGAAAGCGACAGATATGGATCCGAGCTATCAATAGATCAACTCAAGATTTTGTAGGCCTTAAACCGCGAAAATGCACCAGATGGTAAGAGAAAATAGTTTGGAAATACAATGAACGAGCGACGTAACAGATGGAAAGCCCCATTGAAGCAAGAGAATATGGAGGGCGAGTAGAAGGAGCAGATATACGGAAAAGAAGCCCAGATGATTGGAATAGCGATCCACTCAATTCCGGTGGGTATTTCGATTGGTGGTGCAGTGAGACAACTATCACAATAAACAACACAACACATATAGGATAGCTACAGGTTCAAACTCTACGCAAAGCATGAGCAGGTGGAAGATCAACATAAGGGGAGAAAACCGATTATACAAAAATGCGAACACACTGAGAACACGCGTGTAAATCAATCGCCATTGGTGAACTAATTGAATAAGCACGTGCACAGTGAAGACGTCTCGATGAAATCGCACGAGGCAATGCTCAACTTGTGCAATAGATGAGGCACAACGAGGCTGATAACGAACAGCAACTTGGTGGAACACCAGTTCGCGGACCACAGGTACATCAGATGAGCACTGTAACCACTTACCACCTATTGAAAAATTCCACAAGCACCGCTGCAGCGGTTGCAGCGGTGTAATTGTGTCCAATGCAAATGAGCAAACTGGTTGTCAGATGGGGCGAGAGCGAAAGAATCTGACAGATGGAAAGGAAGGCTGCTTCAGCAAGTAAACAACCGTCATGTAAAGATTAGTAATCGTATTTACAATTTTGTGGCAACCTAACACAAAGCAATGAATCAAGGTGGACCTACCTTGTTCAAACCGAGATTCCGCAAAACGGACGGAAGACATCGTAGTGCACCTTTAGACAAAATTGCGGGAGCACTTAGAGTAATCGGATGGGATAGAATGAATTCACCGACAAGAAACTCCAGAACCCAAGACCGTAGCTTCGAATTCGGAAACGATTCAAAGCCACGTAGGACGCAGTCTAGGAAGCTTTTTGCACAAGTACTCACTGATCGATCATCCGAACCTGCGTGCAGCAGCACCTTGAGGCATACCTTTGTGGCCAAATCAAACATGTACTGAGGGGAAAGGAAGAAAAATACGGCTACAGATATGCGAATATGTGTAACAATTTTTCGCTATACGTACAGGTAACGGAGGTGGAACGAAAAGCAACGCAGTTTCCAGCAAAACGCTCAAAAACAAAGCCCTTTATAAATAAAACAACTCCCAAAGGGTGAGCATAGTAGAGGACACGGACACTCGCTAGGAACCTGCAAGGAAGCTGGGTAAAAAAGACCAAAACAAGACGTAGTCACGCAACCAAAGATCAAATATGAAGCGCAAATTGTCAGATGGTGCAGAAGTGCAGTTTTATTTTACCAATTTGTGGAGCCTTTGTTAGCTGCACGACAGTGACACGAGCACCTCGAAATCCGAACGCAAAATAATCAAATCTCGGATAACAGTAAAACGGAGCCATGATCATCTGAGAATAACAGCCATGTTTGTCAATGTGAAAAAGTAACAATTCTTCGCGCGTGGCTTGTTTCGAAGTATAAAAGTGATCTGAGCATAAAAGCGCGACTAACCCTTCTGCCTTGACTCCTCAGCGCGATACTAGAAATTAGAAACGGGAGAAGTGGAGAGTAACGTCGAGCAAATGGTAAAAGTAAGGGAGCAGATGCAAGAGCACCATTTAAGGTTTGACTGCTCCAAGTCGAAGAAGATTTCGAACAAATAATGCGGCTGATTTCTTGTACCTAACCTGGCTTGCCGAACTACCTCCTCGTGGTGCCAGCTGAGTGGTTCGGGTGTACCCCGTTCCAGCAGTGTTCGGCGACAATGGTCCACCTCCGTGAGGCACTGTGCTGACTTCATGGGGAGTATTGGGCCCCCGTTTGGTAATCTACCAAATAAAGACGCAGGAACTGAACATTCAGTCAACGCCTTGCAATGGGCGCGATTCCCTAAATTTGCCCCGCTGCCTTGCGGGTAGGTTATTTAGCCAAAGGCTAGGGGTGGAGTCCCCTAAGTCAACTCCCTACTTCGGCTTGGGCAACCGGGTAGTATCACGCCCTATCACAAAACCATGGACTGTATGACAACGTGCTCATCAGCTACTGTTTCTGCTAGTCACTTTCACGCGACTTCATCACAGGCCAATTGTTTGCTTGCTAACAATCCTCACTTTCCGTTACTCGATTCATATGTTCAACAATCTGGCTGCAATTCCGGTTGCGCCGTAGACCAAGGAGTTCAACCTATGGCTCTCCTTCGTCCCTGATCCTCGTTCCGTTTGGCGTGCTTCAACGTTCGGATACTCATGCAGAATGGACAGCAAGCCGGTCTAACGCGCACCCTAGATTCCCTAGATATTGATGTCTGCTGTCTTTCAGAAACCCGATTGCAAGATCCCAGCACTGTGCTTACAATGACATCCCCCACTGACCACGAAGCCAGATATCACCTGCTTCTTTCTGGAGAGCCAGAAGCAGACTCAGCGGGTTTGGCTGGTGTAGGTATAGCACTAAGTGGCAAGGCCGAGGCGGCACTACTGGACTGGTTCCCGATTAACAGCCGACTATGTGCAGTTCGACTTCGGGGTTCATATAGAACCAACAGGCACCGCGAAGACAGACAAAACTTGTTTGTGATCTGCGTGTACGCTCCAACTGACTGCAGTGGCGACTCGATCAAGGACGAATTCTACCGGGATCTACAACAGCTCTTGACTAATTCTAAAAAGTCGGATGTCGTTATCCTTGCTGGAGATTTTAATGCACGGGTTGGCCGCCTGTTACCATACGAACGCCACCTTGGTGGTCATCACGAGCTCAATGAGAACCGCTCTGATAATGGAGAGACTTCTCACATTGTGCGAAGGCAACCGTCTGTTTCTTTCGAGCGCTAACTTCAGGAGTACGAAGAAGCGTTAAGCAACGTGGCGTCCCCCTTCGCCAACACAACCGTGGTCTCAAATTGATCACATTGCAATTAGCTTCAGATGGAGCGGCAGCGTACTGGACTGCAGGTCCTTTTGGTCCATCTTCGTTGAATCAGATCATGCTCTGGTCTGCGCGAAAATCAGTATGTGTTTTGGAGGATGCCGAAACACGAAGCACCGCAAGATTGATGTAAACAGGTTAACTGACTCCTCTGTCCAGGCGAGCTAGCAGTCTTCACTGGTATTTGCACTCAGTTGCAATCCACCGCAAGAAGTGGAACAACACTGGACTAGTATACAGAAAGCGACGATCATTTCTGGACAGTCATGCTGCGGCCTAACTCGACGTCCCTTGAAGGCTTGGATCCCTGCTCGTTCTTTGGAGCTGTTAGAACGCCGCAAAGATATCCCCGCGGAATCAGACTGCAACGAGCGGCGCCGTCCTACCAACCGGCTGCTCAAGCAAAGCCTACGCAAGGATCGCGAGACATGGTGGTCTGAGCGTGCTTTAGAGATGGAGACCGCTGCCCTCTCTGGCAACACTCGCAGGCTTTTCCAACTCATTCGGTCCACTGGCGTCAGGAAGTCTGGTGTCAGTGAGGTCATTTGTGAGGCGGATGAGCCTCCGATCACCAACCGACAGAGGCGTATGGACCGCTGGGCCGAGCACTTTCACTAGCAGTCCAACTGGCCTCCACCATCCATCAGTACATGCAGTACATCTTGTTGTCCACCCTGGCTCGTCCCACGGGATCCACCAGGCGAAGCGGAAGTCTGCCTCGAAATTCGACGCTTGAAGCGCTTCAAGGCTGACGGCTTAGACGGACTTCCTCCGGAACAATTCAAGTACGGCTATGTGGCGATCATTAACCAGCTGACCGCGCTGTTCGCAATAATTTGGCATGAAGAGAAAGTGCCTTCCTCTTGGGGCGAATCAGTTATTGTCCCGATGTTCAAGAAAGGCGCTCGTACTTCATGTGCAAATCATCGCGGGATTAGTCTTATTTCGATTGCCTCTAAGCTATTGGCATCCATTCTGCTTCGCAAACTATCACCAGTACGTGAATCATACTACCGTGAAGAACAAGCTGGTTTCCGTCCTGGCTGCGGATGCGTGGATCAAATATGCACGCTCCGCCAGCTCCTCGAACATCGCCACATTTATCACAGGCCCACTATCGTTGCATTCCTAGACATACGTGCCGCTTTTGACTCCGTTGATCGACCTACTTTATGGCGTTGCTTGCTAAAGAACGGGGTGTCAGGGAAATATACAGCCATCTTACGAGCACTTTACCTTCATATATCCGGAAGAGTGAGGGCTATGGCAAACTTTCCTCGCAATTCGCTGTCAATAGCGGTGTGCGACAGGGCTGCCCTATGTCCCCATTCCTCTTCTACTTCGCAATCGAAGACGTTCTGTCCAATGCCCTAGAAGGTTTCCAAAATTTTGGTCTAGAGCTTCTATCGGGTGAGCGCGCGACCGACTTGGATTATGCTGATGATATCGCCTTACTTGGTGACGATCCTCAGAGTAGGCAACTCATTCCGGATCGCTTGGCGGTTGAAGCATCTAAGTATGGCATGAGCTTCGCCCCATCGAAGTGTAAAGTACTGCTCAAGCATTGGCTTGCACCTGCTCCCGTGCTCACTCTCGAAGGTGCACAAGTTGAACAGGTAGATAGTTTCGTCTACCTTGGAAGCTGTGTTTCTGCTGACGGCACTATAAACAAAGAAGTTTCTCTTCGTATCGCTAAAACTCGATCAGCATTTGTCAATCTGAGGCACTTGTGGCGTCGTCGCGACGTTTCATTCTCACTAAAGGGCCGCGTTTACAGCGTATCAATTCGCTCAGTATTGTTGTATGGGTGCGAGTCCTGGCCGATTAGCGTGGAAGACATGCGTCGTCTTTCTGCCTTCGATGCCGGTTGCTTAAGGAGGATCGCTCGTGTTTGGTGGCAACATCGAGTCAATAGTAATGACGTTCGATGTCGCATCTAGGGGAATGCGAGTATTCCCTTCAACAAACTGGTTTTGTTGCGCCAGTTAGGATGGCTCGGTCACGTCCTACACATGGCACCTGAAAGTCTACCGCTTCGCGCTCTATTCGCTTGTCAAGGAGCTGGCTGGAGGCGGCCGCGTGGTGTTCAGCCTTCCACTTGGCGGCAGCACATGAAATCGCTGACGTCGTGTCTAGCCGCTGTTGGATCCGTACGTTTTCCAGGATGGGGACCCAAAGATGAGGAGTCCCAATGGTTTAGCACTCTTAAAGACATGACCTGCAACCGGAATCAGTGGCAGAATTGTGTACAGTATTGTACTGATTCACATGTTTAATACTACAAACATTGAAAATGACAAAAAAGAGAAAAATCGGCATGTAAAAAACAAACCAAAAAATGTTTTGTTCTACTTGTTGTCAAAATGTTCCATTCTTCTTGCGGCATATTAGCTGAAGTGTGTTGCTCACCTTCAACTAGCATGCCATGATGATTAAGACCCGATGACTCTTCCTTATCCGCTGATCACCATGGTTTCCTGTTGGCTCTTTGTCTAGTTGATAGACTGCTGAGCACCTAAGCTTATGGCTGTTTGGTCGAGGTCATGATTGTCGTCCGGCGGCTGATAGCCGAGCACTGTAAGCATCCATAATGTAATTCCTATTTGCCTCCGCCAGCTCAAATCCGCGTAGGTGCGCGGGTGACCTCGCAGTAACCCCATTACACATGCTACCGCTGGTATCGTATCAGTGTTGCAGAGAAGCGTCAGCAAAGAGCTTCGCACGATCAAAAGGACTACCAACAGACAACATACCAACAAGAACCAAACCTAACAATTCAGTGCATATTCTTGTGCTCGTGATGCAAAACACTACAAATCAACTACACCCACCATAAACTCGGCAATTCCACCCAAGTAAAGCAGCGATTCGTAGGCGAAGGCGATAAAACACGAGTAGCTGCAGCAGACAAATGTCAGAGCAACACAAGAAAAATGGAAGCACAAGTGTCATACAACCCATCTTCGATCGATAGGGGAACCTGACAAATGCTGTGAAGTGGAAGCAGCAGTATCACTCATTATCTATCATCAAGTGTCAGGTGGCATAGTATATAAAAACGTAAAAAAGCACTCATGCTGGACGATGTGAAGCAAACCACTATCCAAATGCCCTATCTAAAGCGAAGTGGGATTTCACTGTTCGAACGCCGAGGATGCCATGGTCACAGCCCAAAAGAATATCCGGTTGCACATTAAAAACCTTGCTATGTTTTGAATGAACCAACAATTATCACGTACAAGATGGTTACACGCACCTCGTCGGAATACGGTTCAACAGCATGGTTGGCGGCATAGGGTTTCGTATTTGCCTGTCACTGTGGCCAGTCACAAGACGCCTGCGCCTACAGAGGGACCATGGATGGCTTGCGCTGCACCACTCACAGCTCCAACCACACACCCCATATCCAGTGTAAACCCGAAGGAATAAGACCGGGAGGCATGCGGATGGGAACCACGTTTCATCAACGGAGCCGGCCCACACTCCTTCACAGGCAAACACAAGCACGCTGTATTTGGGGAATCAACCGCACACAAGGCGGTGGCTGGACCGTAGTCCGCTCCACACTGAGTGCATGGAACCGCTCTTTGAGCCTAGCACGGCCACAAGAACCGTGCACCCCGTCCCCTCCAGCAACGACCAACTGTCTCCTGGAGCCAGTATGAACGATGTAGTGGGTAATAGACAGGTAGGCACCTTGTCAACATACACATCCAGCGCAACCATACCAGGGATATCAAACAACAGCCACATACAATTTAAACGACAAGCTGAAAGAAAATAAATCCAATAATGCATACAGATACGGTGGCATAACTCTTCGCTAAATTACCATATGAAGTAAGTTGGTCAGCAACAAATCCGTGATAAGTAAGAAATGTCCACAAGTTACTTAAAATGCTACAAACGCAACAAAATTACCGAAGATAAGCGCAATTAGTGTAAGCAACGTGGCCAGTTCATAGAACATTATTCAGGGAGGCAGAACAAACCAAATAAAGCGGAATGAAATTTAGCCAGCTTAAAAAGACCTAGTTTAAGTGTAAGTTGGTTTAGCCCAACTGCGGTGAAGAAGCATCAAGAATGCAACATCAGTCTCAGCATGGGGCACACATACATACATGGTTGGCGGCATCCGGTTTCGGATTTGCCTGTCACTGTGGCAAGCCACAGGACGCCTGCGCCTACAGAGGGACCATGGATGGCTTGCGCTGCACCACCCACAGCTCCAACCACATACCCCATATCCAGTGTAAACCCGAAGGAATAAGACCGGGAGGCATGCGGATGGGAACCACGTTTCATCAACGGAGCCGGCCCACACTCCTTCACAGGCAAACACAAGCACGCTGTATTTGGGGAATCAACCGCACACAAGGCGGTGGCTGGACCGTAGTCCGCTCCACACTGAGTGCATGGAACCGCTCTTTGAGCCTAGCACGGCCACAAGAACCGTGCACCCCGTCCCCTCCAGCAACGACCAACTGTCTCCTGGAGCCAGTATGAACGATGTAGTGGGTAATAGACAGGTAGGCACCTTGTCAACATACACATCCAGCGCAACCATACCAGGGATATCAAACAACAGCCACATACAATTTAAACGACAAGCTGAAAGAAAATAAATCCAATAATGCATACAGATACGGTGGCATAACTCTTCGCTAAATTACCATATGAAGTAAGTTGGTCAGCAACAAATCCGTGATAAGTAAGAAATGTCCACAAGTTACTTAAAATGCTACAAACGCAACAAAATTACCGAAGATAAGCGCAATTAGTGTAAGCAACGTGGCCAGTTCATAGAACATTATTCAGGGAGGCAGAACAAACCAAATAAAGCGGAATGAAATTTATCCAGCTGAAAAAGACCTAGTTTAAGTGTAAGTTGGTTTAGCCCAACTGCGGTGAAGAAGCATCAAGAATGCAACATCAGCCTCAGCATGGGGCACACATACATACATGGTTGGCGGCATCCGGTTTCGGATTTGCCTGTCACTGTGGCAAGCCACAGGACGCCTGCGCCTACAGAGGGACCATGGATGGCTTGCGCTGCACCACCCACAGCTCCAACCACATACCCCATATCCAGTGTAAACCCGAAGGAATAAGACCGGGAGGCATGCGGATGGGAACCACGTTTCATCAACGGAGCCGGACCACACTCCTTCACAGGCAAACACAAGCACGCTGTATTTGGGGAATCAACCGCACACAAGGCGGTGGCTGGACCGTAGTCCGCTCCACACTGAGTGCATGGAACCGCTCTTTGAGCCTAGCACGGCCACAAGAACCGTGCACCCCGTCCCCTTCAACAACGACCAACTGTCTCCTGGAGCCAGTATGAACGATGTAGTGGGTAATAGACAGGTAGGCACCTTGTCAACATACATATATATATATATATATATATATATATATATATATACCACTTGATGCAACCCGTGTGGACTGAGGAGGAGATGCCTCCTGATCTGAAGGATGCCCTTGTGCGATCGCTGTACGGAGGGAAAGGTATCAAGCAATGTGCCAAGAATTATCGTTGTATTAACTTGCAGAGCTGTGTAGGCAAGATATTTGCTCGAATCCTGCTCAATCGCGTCGTCAGTCAGGGTGTAAAACCGAACGTGGCGGAAGAGCTATGTAGCTTCCGTCCGGGTCGCAGCCCCATCGATATGGTGTTAGCGGCTCGTCAGTTGCAGGAGTAGTGTAGAGAACGACATCAGTCTTTCTACTAGCTTTCTGTTGATTTCAGCAAGACATTTGGTACGGTGAACCGCGAGGCATTGTGACTGGTGTTGGGTAAGTTTGGTTATCCGAAGAAATCGGTAACCTTAATTATATGTCTACACAGTGGTAGGTGAGCGAGGGTGCAGCTGAGTGGACAGACGTCAGATGACTTTGCAGTTGTCTCTAGTGTGAAGCAATGCTGTGTCTTAGCTCCTGTCCTGTTTAATATTGATCTTCATGCAATGATTTCATGTGCTTTTGATGTGGCTTGTGCTTACGGTGTTCGTGTGGAGCACCGTATTGATGGTGAGTTGCTGAAGACCCGTGGTTTCGGTGCGAGAACCCACGGACGCGATTTTATGCCACCCTGCATGCAGTAGATAGGATGTCTACTGAAAGTGGGCGACTAACGTTCCGATAAAATGAGCAGCAAGAAGGAACAGGTACTCTTATCGAAACGGGTGCAGTTAGGTCAAACACTGAGATACTGCAATGGTGAGTGCTGGTGACAGAAAACTCCCCACTTCATATGCCATTACAACGAGCAGGACACCACGATTTGAATCAATGCCAATCATGGTTCAATGTGCGATTGGGCGTTCTAATGCAAATAGGATGGAGCATTGCAAGCATAATAGAAGTATCAGCAGTACGCCAGTACACCGCACCGACGCTTCGCTGCCAAGCAACCACCGGTCGCACGTGGGCTGCGCATAAAAAGATGTAGTCCACATTTACGCAAATTCGTACCAGTGACCGGATCAAAAAGCCAGTGTGCAATCCCTTTTATCAACAGACGAAGCAAACATAACAAGAAACAAAAACGTACCTCTATGCTTGTGGAAAAGCTTGTGACTTTTGTCCACCAGAGCTCAGTCAACGTGATGGCCATGACATTAAGAGTGACTGAACAGCTCGATAGGTTAGGCAGTATGTAGTCTCCCAGTTTAGTAATATGATGTTCCAGATCACTGGCGGAATGTTGAAGATAACTTGTATCAGACCTGAGAAATCCGATAAGGAAAAACAGCTCCAAATGCATAACTGCACATGCTTAGTGAAAGGGGGGTAAGAAAGTAGGAAAGAAATCACCATCCAAGTTTCTTGAGGAAAGCTTGCTGACTGTGTCGGAAAACGTTTCTGAAAAGTACCCACCTAAAAACAGCGATGTAATAAGGAAATTTGAAACGAGGAAAACCTTCCAGCATATTCCAAACATCAGGAACATAACGCACAAATAGAGAATAAAAGGTGGAACAAATTTGTGCATTTTTGAAGTGATGGACCTGAAATGCAGAACATGGTGTATATAGGGATGTGAAATACCTCCTCGACCAAAAGTGTGACAAGGGAACTCAATGAGGGCTCGATTGTAAAAGCCATACTGTACTGCAGAATAAAGCAGGTGTCATCAAGCTGCGGACGCCGCGATGAACGCGTAAGATATCGTGAGTGGTACTCATAAAAATCCCTCTTGAAAAAGGCTGAACAAAAATAGAACAAAAATTCAATGATCGCGAAACTTAAAGGAGCGAAAAAGTGCAAATACCGTGACTGGCAATGTAACACGAAATAAGGGTGGACATTAAAAGTAGAACTGAGTTCACTGAGTTGTAGAGAGCAGAAGGGAAATCCCTTGTCAGCCCCATCGATTCCGTATCATACTGGGTATGATGCGCGTCGTTGCATTACGACGTTCATCGACGGTTCGTCGCAATTGCAGTGACAACCGCAAGATTCCAGCATTATCAGCGAATGTTTGTCTAGCAGCCGCTTGAAACTTTCCCCGGATGGCGCGTCTGCAATTTCTTCCGGTAGGCTGTTCCAATCATTCACCACTCTAGTGGATAGGGTGACGTCCATGCGAATGCGGTCTTCTTTGCTTAAATAGTTTCCATGTGTGACCTCGTGTGGAACAGTCAGTGTTGGGCCGGAAGTATTGTTGTAACTCACTTCCAAGTCCCCCTCGGAGGATGCGCCTAGTGTATATGAGATCATCCCGGCGACGGCGGAGCTCCAGGGAGAACCGATTTAGTCGAATGGGGTACGAGAGATCACGAAGCCCAAGAACAGTTTTCGATGCACGTCTCTGAACCTTTTGCAGCAGAGCGCATTCAAACTTTGGTAGCGGATGGATAGCTGGTAGGCCATATTCTAAGACTGGACGGACGTAGGAAGTGAACAAAGGTCGAAAAATCTCAGGAGTCATTCGAGCGAATGATCTTCTTAAGGCACCCACCAGTCTCCTTCCAGTAGCCAACTTCTTCAAGGTGCCATGCGTCGTTCCAATGTCAGAAGTCGCGATAACCCCGAGATCTCTCTCGTGAGTGGTATACTTTAGGAGAAACCCACCAATTTGATATGCACCGTACGGTTCAGTGCTACCCATTGGGATAACAGCGCATTTGTCTCGGTGTACTGGTGATTCCTACTTAGCGAACCATTCGTGTAGCTAGTCTGGAGCCCTTATAATCTGTCCGCATTCTCAAGGTTGGATACTGTAAAAGCACCGGAGCGGTCATTTCGAACGATCGGCATTACTAAATGCGCATTGTTTCTACATTTTTTTTAAAAACGTTTAGATGTTCCGTGACTTTTAATACTTTTAATCGCACTTTATAACTGTGAAGCTTGACTTCGATATACGTTAGTTTTCGATAAAAAAGGTAACATTTGTGTTTGTGCTATCGAGAAAGCCGGTAGGTGGTCACAATGAAGACATTTCTCCAATGCTTCTTTTTGGTTTCCTATTCAGATACCAGTATTATTTCTGAATAATAAATTTTAGCGATATTTATTCATAATGACTAGGAGGAGAACAGCAGATGAGTTTTTACGAGAATTTACAGCTGTCGAGTATAAGGAGTCTAGAGACGAGTGAATATGATGTTGGTGATGATTTCACTGTCCGAAATTTTGCAGAGGATCACAGCATCTATTTTAGTCAACGGTCTGACAGTGACACTCCTCATGAGGACAGTGGTGACGACGGAAAACATGAAAATGCATCAGCCCTTACATCATCTTCAGGCGAAGTTCACGTAGCAAGATGGTACACCATGGACTCCAGTAGAGTTCCAAATAACTATCGTTGGTAGGATGACAGCAAATAGTGTTTCAAGGCAACACAATGATCAACTGCCTACGCCGAGAATCGTGTGAAACTCTCGAGTGCTTTTAACATAAGGTTTGCGTTTCAGATGTTGAGACATATTTAAACATGTACTGAAGCTTAGGCCAAGAGAGTAAGTTGTTAGTGCACTTACAAGTGGAACATAGGTGTTTCTCAGTTGCAAGCTCTCATTAGGCAACCTTACATCAGAAGCTTCATGGGCTGGAGGAACATGCCGTTGAATTTGCTGTGGTGCAATAAAATACAGATTGCATGTTTTCAGAGAAACAATTGACGATAACAGATTCAATAAAGTAATGAGGTTTTTTCATTTTGATATGCAAACTATCAGAGGTGAAAGGCTGCAGAGTGGCAAGTTTGATTTAAGATCTGAATTTATGAGTGCATTTATTCGCAACTCTCAACAGTGTTCTGTGAAAGCGCAGAATCTCTCCGTCAACGAGCAATCGTTTCCCATGAAAACTCGCTGTCGCCTTCTTCAGTACATAACCAATAAACCTCATAGGTTCTGTATTCTGTTTTGAATTCTGGCAGAAGTGGACATCAAGTACCTCGTAAGCCTTATGTCGCCCTTCCTAGAAAAAGACTATAACGTCACAAATGACAAGTGCTTCACATCTGAAGCATTAGGAGTAATACTACAAGAAAAATCAGGCATGTTGAAAACTATACGATTTAAGAGACGGGAAGTGCCAACGAGTTAGAAGCAAAGCAGTAAAAAGTTGTTCAGTCTAATGATTATGAAAAATAAGCACACACTAAACTTCTACAAAACAAGTCAAAGAACAGGTGCTATTTGTAAAAAGATAGTTTGTGGTTCATGTGGACATCAGTTTCAAGTGCGAATCTGATAAGAACAAATGTTTTTAAAAAATTTATTGCTTAATACGGTGATTGTCAGTTACAAATATTTTACCCATTGTGTCTGACATATGCACTCAGAAAACCAAAGTTGGAGTAAATAAGTACAGCGATGCGGTCATTTTGACTGGTCTCGGGAGTTGAAGGTAAATCGGTGGTATAGAAAATGGGTTATTAATAGCATGCAGGAAGATTGTTTTTTGCCGTGTACTACGTATTGTTAATTAGAGTACATATGGTACGTTTGTGCCTGACTATAGCATAGTTCTGTGCAAGCAGGAATGGAAACACAAGGCAAGTTGGGTAGAACGGTGAGGTAACAACGGATCTTTACGAGTAGAGATACCACGCGTATTAGTAGTTGCGGTCGCACCTGGAACTAAAAACAAAAAGGCATCAGCAGTACGCCGGTACACAGTACCGACGCTGCTCTGCCGCGCAACCACCACCGGTCGCACGTGGTCAAAGGATACTGCGAGAGTCGCCCTGCTCCCACGCAGGCTCGAACCCGCGCCGTCAGACTACGAGACAAGCACGTGACCTCTAGGCTACGAGCCAGACCTTGAACTGACTGCCTCTAGTCGGTAGCTCGAAAAAAGAAGTACTCTTTCAGTGTTTATTTCCGCTGATGGCTTTATGGAACAAAAAATGAACTCATCAATTGCAATGTATTGCTTGTAAGCGTCTTACCATACTGTGTAACGGAGGGGGTGAATATTAATGCCGCAATTTGCGTACCTCAGTGATATCCCACGCTATGCTTGGCAGCCCTTTCCAAGTGTTCAGAGCCACTTATACCAGGCAAATCAATGGTTGGACATCTGTGGCGCCAGAAAGAAGTTTTTGCCGTCTAAAAGCCGTGCTTACAAGGTCATCGTGAAGACTGTCCTACTCTATGGTAGCGAGATGGCCCCTTCGATCTGAGGACCTGCAGTGCCTTCCAGTCTTTGATCATCGTTGTCCGCGAAGCACTGCTGGTGTCAGATGGCATCAACGTGTTCGCAGCGATAATGTGCGTAAGCGAGTAGCGGGCAGTGATAACCCGTATATAGCCTCAGAACAACGGATAGTGCTGAATAAGTTACGTTGGCTTGGGCACGTACTACGTATGTCTGGTCACCGCTTACCGAGCACATCCTAGTTTTGTTTGTCAGATACAGGATGGCGCAAGGCCCGAGGTGGGTCGAAATTAACTTGGCAGCGGGAAATGAAGTCACTGACGACCAGACTGAGTGCCGTCGATTCGTCTCGCCTTCCAGGCTGGTGTCCAAGTGACCCGCCGCCGTGTGTTTGGCTCGAGATGTTACAGAACATGGCTCGCAGTCGACATCAGTGGTGTGTCTGTTGTCGTCTCCTAGTTGGACTGTCCGTTAAAAGTGTGTTTGGTGCTGTTATCTGCGGGACAATGGCTGGTTAGGAAGCTGGGTAGTGAAAAACGCAAGGTAACTGTCTCGCCGATGCCACCTTATTTTTAGACCATAGCCACCTGTTTGTGATGGTTTGTTGTTGACAAGGTATAGGCGCATTTACCCGTGTCTGGTTAAGGAATTAAGGTTGAACTGTACGACACGTTCTCTCCCTCTTATTCTTTTTCGTTCAGTAGATCACCGTGGTTGTACGGCAGAGAAGCATCAGTTCAAATGACTGATTTACTAAAGCTGTTGATTATGATGATGAATGGTTGGACATCTGGCAAATTAAGCCTCAGCATCCCCTTTGGAGGTTGGTGTGATGTCAGTGGGAGGCCAGATTTCACACATCGATGAAAGTAGAGAACGAGTGCCAATATAATGAACCATTCCTTAAACAATTGCTTGATGTGCTGGCTGTTGCAGAGGAGAATCAACGACGCCCAATCTGCTGGGGTGAGGATGACAGTGCTCAAGCCTTCTCGGTTTTATCTCCCCATTTGAGCTTTTTTTCTTATCGTCCAGATCCAACTTCACTTTTGTCCTCCTGTTTTAAAAACCCCAATTCTTAGTCTTTCTCTATTTTGCTTTGATAAGCGTTGGTCTTATAGTTTCAACACACGCAAACGCAGGGTATCGCTCCAGTCCAGTAGGCAAGTCCATGCCCAGCCAAACGGACATAAGTTCGTTTGTTTCCATTTGGGTCCCTCGATCCGCTCTAATACTGGTATGTCTCAACGTTCAGGTTGGCTAATAAACATCCCTTGCCTGAACAGTAGAGAAGCTTCCTGCCAGCACCATGAGACTGTTAGGAGTCCCGAAATCAAGTGTAGTTGTACTAGACTTCTACTGCGGTTTCACCAAACCTGTTAACGTCTGTCAATTCGTCGAGCCTACGAGAAAGGAATTACGCAAGGCATTACCGAGAGAAGTCTGTTTATCGTCGGTCCGTAGCCTAGACGTAATGAGCTTGTCTCGTAATCTTGCGGCGCGGGTTTGAATTCGCGTAGGGGTGGGTGTGTTTGTGGTATACTCAGCCCGCGTGCGACTGATGTTGGTCGCAAGACAGCGAAACGCCGGTT